CTGCCTGTCCCGGCTGATGTAGGAGGGGCAGCAGGGCTGGACACAGGTGTGCTCAGCACACAGGTACAGATGCTGCTGCTGCTGCTGCTGCTGCTGCCCAGGCAGGATGAGCCCCCCCAGGAGCCCCCTGACACACCTCACCACCTCAGAGAAGTAGGGCACGTCCTTGTCCAGGTTTTTGTGGTCGAGGGGCTCCATGATCGCTGCCTGCAGAGAGAGCACAGTGACAGCCCTGTCCCCGTCCCTGTCCCTGTCCCTGCCTGGCCTGAGGCCCAGGTAACCCCCACAGCCAGGATGGGAATAAAGGGAAAGAGCCCCAGATGCAGCTGTAGATTCCCAGCTGGAGACGCGGCTCTGCCTCACAGAACACAGCTAAGGCATTTATTCTTCAATTATTGCCTAATTTCCTTTTGATGTGCTGCCTTCAGCAGCTCACCACGTCCCCATGCTGGGACCAGACAAGCTCTAATCATCTCTCCCAGGGGATTAGAAGGAAAACTGGGCTATTTTTACCTGCATATATTCCTTCAGGTCTGTCAGGTTCATCACCATCCCCGAGACCGGGTCAATCTGCAGGGAAGCACAAGGGACATTGGTGGCAGCACAGACCAGACAGGAATATCTATGCTCAGCTCATCTGAGCCACAAGGAAATTATCTCCCCGCTGTCAGAGGGCTCCAGCTGCACTCCTGGGAGGCTCCCAAGGGCTTGGTACAGCCTGGAAACAATTCCAGAGGTTCCACTCTCTCCTAAAAGCTGACACCAGGCAGAAACAACGCTCTGGAAGAGTCTCCAAGCATGAAAACAGCATTAAACTGCAAATCCTTGTGAACAGGACAGTGGGCACAGAAAACCTGCTCTAGTGATGTGCACAGAGTTTCTGAAATACTCTGGGAAATCCAGAACCGTGGGGATTGTGCCACCCTGAGGGACAGGAAAGGACGCTGGCAGCACTCACCTCTCCACGCACGGTGACCACAACTGGAAAACAGAAAAGACCAGGTCACTGTGGTGCCCATGAACCCAAAACCACATCTGCTGCTCGGCTGGGACTCACAGCCCTGCTCACCCACGGGCTGCACTCAGGAGTGGGACTGCTTTTACAAAATGAGGGGATGCTCCATAAAAACAACGGCTCAGAGGCACAAAAATCCCTCCCCAAGGGCTGGTGCCACAGCAGGCTGCAGATAAGCCTGTCTCCCCTGATAAAGCAGCTCCTCAGCAGAGGTTTCAGGGTGCCAACAGCACAGGGAGCCTCTCCAGGAACTGGAGAGATCTAATTCTGCGTGCTCAGAGTGTTCAAATGGGAGAACTTGTGAAAAAAACCCATTCAAATAATGTTTACAGGCTGTTTAATTTGCATGGCTCTTGCTTAGAAAAATCTCCATTCCAATCACAATGACTCTGCAGCGCGTAAACAAGCAGACTTGATTCAAAAAGTGGCATTTGAAAATAAATATTTATTATCTACTCAGCTGAAAAACGGCAAACCCATGCTACGGTTCAACCCCCTGCTGCTGAAACTTCCTCCTAATTCTGAATAAAAACACAAACTCAGCCGCCGGGTTTGTGTTTTTATTAAGAATTAGGAGGAAAAAAAGCTGTTTGAGGCTGCTGAGAGTGAGTGGCCCTGCCCTCTCCACCCTGAGCAAGGATGGAAATCAGTTTCCCACCTTTGTAGTTGTGTCCGTGGCCATTGGGATTGTTGCACTTCCCAAAGAGCTTCAGGTTCTCCTCATCACTCAGGGATTTGCTGTGGGAAAGGCAGGCATGGATCTGTTCCACATCTCCATGGGTTCACTCAGCTCTGCTCTCCAGCTCTCCATCTCTTCCCTCTCCCACATTTAACCAGCCCAGGAGGCACAAACACAGACAGAAATGGCTGGGCCATGAAAAGATGCTGTTGACAGCACTGAATCTTTCCCTGCTGTGGTTTTGTGTCTGTTTCACTGCTGGATAAATGTTCAACATCTGGGCCCAAAATCCCTTCGGCCTGCAGCAAGCTGCACATTTGGGTTTATCACCGATTAACAAAGAAGTACAAAGGATTTCCCTCGGAATGTTCCCTTTGAAGCAATGCAGGGCCCTGCTCTGAGCGCTTCAGGTCAAGGCACATTTTGGGGACATCACAGAACCCCAGGATCACTGAGGTTGGAAAGAGCCGTGAGATCCTGGGGTCCAAGCAGCGCCAGAGCACTGAGTGCCACATCCCGGGGTTCCTCGGGCACCTCCAGGGATGGGGACGCCCCGGGCTGCCCCTTCCAAGGCCTGGCCACCGCTTCCATGGAGAAATCCTCCTGATCTCCAGCCTAAACCTCCCCTGGCACAGCTCGAGGCTGTTTCCCCTCGTCCCACCGCTCCTAGCCTGGGAGAAGAGACCGGTCCTAAAACTGAGGCAGCTTCAGGTCAAGGAATTTATCAGTTTTGGGGGAAAACCAGCAGATGGGGGGGT